TAATTAACAGACGTCTATTACCCAGAAAATGGATAAAATACTGTGGTAGCCACCTTCTGGCACTCCTGCTCTTGTGCACCCCCTCACACATTGAACAGGACTAAGCTGCATTAGCAGGATATTAGGAAATTATGTGTGTGACTCTCAGAGCCAGGTCATAAAAGCCATGTGGCTCTTGCCTTGCAATCTCTTGGATCACTTGCTCTCTGAGAAAGCCAGCCACCATGTCACAAGGCCACTCAAGCAGCCCTGTGGAGAGGTCCATGTGGCAAGGGGCTGAGGCCTCTTAACATCAACTTGCCAGTGATGCCAGTGAGCAGATCCCCCAGCCCCACTGACGCCCTCAGTTGACTTGCAGCCTCGGCCAACATCTTTATTGCAAACCCTGCCAGACCACCCACCCAAACGACTTAATTCCTAACCTGCACAAACTAAGATAACGAATGTTACTATTACAGATTATTGTGGTTTAGATTTTGTTGCCGGACTTGAGGGGCATTTATTGTGGAACAATGGATAATGAATACAAATGTTACGGAATCACACAGTGAAATTTTAGCTTGCTTGTTTTTAAAAAGAGGTGAAAATGGCCATGTCATAGTATTCTCATGAGCTTTAGTCTAGAATCTATGTGAATGCTCTGTGTTTGGCACACAGCCAGGACTCCACAAACACTTGTTGTGCAGAAGCAGAATTGGAAAAGTACAGTAACAAGTGTTTGTGGACACTGTTGGAAGGAATCAAAATTGGAAGAGTGCAACCAGTGTTTGTGGAGCCCTGATTTCCCTTCCCAAGTGAGTTCTCTCTCCCTTGATAGGCAGGTATTTTTCCCAGTTTGAACATTGTCTAAAGCGTTCACATTTGGTGGGATGAGTTCATCAGTTCTTACAAGTTGGAGAAAGAAAACTGATCTCCTCCTCAGGACATGAGCTATAATTGGGCCAATCGTACCTGAAAGGAGACTACAGAAGGTGAATTTTCACCAGTGGTCTCCATTTCATTTTCCAAGCACCTGACTCTTAGGGTTGGGGTGTAATTAGGCACTAATGAGGTAGGGATTTGAGAGAGAAAAACCCCAATTTGCGTTCCTGCTACCTCTGCCAAGAAACACGAAGGTCTAAGGAAGATTTCATTTGTGTCTGGGTGAGGGAACTCTGTTCCCAAAATATTGATTACAACATTTAGTTTTGTTTTTCATCAGGCTAAGTCAGAGATTTGTATAATCACACTGAGATTTATCCCTATGGGAAAAAAATTAAAATTGGACAGCTCCCACTCCATCCCACCAATATGTTCCCTGACTTCTGAAATGCAGGGAGAAAAGCTCACATTAACACCGGGGTCCATGCCAGGGTGCTGATTGCTTCACCCATCATTTGCCAAGCTGCTTAAAACTACTGGCTTCTCCAAGACACAGGGAACTTTTCTGTGCTGCACTAGAGTAGCGCATATATTTAAATATGAAAGAGACCATTAAAAACTCAAGGACAACAGAATTAAATGAGGGGTAAAAAAGTTGTATGCCTTTGCCAGAACAAGTTAGTTTGGTATCCCCATACTTGGGAGAGAGCCAGCCCCTCACTCAGGGGAATCTGTGCTCTACTTACTTGCAAATATCCTGGTAAAAATGCTGCTCCCTTGCAAAGGACTTGGACTATAGGGAGCTAAGCGGGGTGGCCTACCTCAAAGAGAACAAAACAAAAAGGAAGTTTGTTGGTAGTGTCGGACCATCCCCCGCTCTGCTAGCCTCCCCATCTATGCCACAACTTCACAAACCTCTGCTCTCAGAGGTGTCAACTACTCCCTCTTCCCACCCCCAAAGGATTTCAGAAAGCCTGAGTAGCATTAGATTTCGGCAGGCCCACAAACAGAATCTAAAACAGAGGTTGTGTGTGGCCAATAGGGTTTCAGCCTACCGTTTGAGAGCCTGGCACAGAACAAGGTCTCCTTTCACTTGACCCTCCTTCGCTAATACAAGGCTGTTTGGCTGCATCCAGAACCCCATGGGGCGAGTGTTCAGGCCAAGAATAGTCTTCATTCTTCCCATGAAGCTTTCAAAGTCTTCTAAAGAACACAGGAAATTGTCAGCCCTTATTTTCTGCTGAAAATGGCCGACACTAAACTTTGAACATTCTATGGATTAATCCCAAATTATGGGAACCAAGTTTGCCTGAAAAGCAGCAAAGGTTTCATTAAAGATGACTCTGATAAACTATCTCAGCATTACTTACAAAGACTGACATACTTTATAACTCCAATTACTAATACCTTTCTTCTTCTGACCAAAGTTACCTTATTTCTATGGAATTAACTGCAAAACTCTCTGTGCACAAAGAAGCAGATCTAGAGACTTCTCATGGCACTGTGCACATTTCCTATAAATAAACCATCACTAAAACTGAGGAGAAATAATAGTTTTTGGTCTGTCATGACCCCAGATGATCATCACATTCTCGAGGTCCAGACACCTTAATGTGTGCAGTCACAATGTAATCCTCACTCCAAACCAGCAAAAAAGGCATGTGGCCTATTTTATAGCTGAGGAAACAAACATCCAGAAAAGTCACATGCCTAATTCACAGAGTTGGGGTCTAAACTGAGACAATTAGTGTGTCCAGTGCTTTCTGCTTCTCCAGGCTGCCTGGTGGCCAGCTGACCCTATTAATCAGGGAGCATCTGCTCTGTGCTCAAACAACTTTGCAGATGATAATGCTTCAAAAATGTGGAGTGTAGTAGATCAGGTGCTAGTAAGGTGTAAGATTTACACACAGGCCCTGGTGTCACCAAGACCAGTTCAAACTTTGATTCTGCCAGTTATCACCCGTCTACTGAATAAGTTACTAAACATTTTAAACCCTCAGTTTCCTCATCTGCAAAAGGATGAGGAAATGGGTTTAAAATGTTTAGTAGCGTATTCAATTATTAGATAACATATTGTTATCTTAACTTACTAAATTGTTATACATTAGCTATTAAATGAAAACACACATGCTACTTAGGTTACTGTCTGAAACAGGACAGTTATAGGAAGTTGTTATTATAAAAGGGGCAGAGAAGATTCTGAATGAAGTACAAGGATTTACATTTGCAAGCTTTTTATTAGAAAGGACTTCAATTTACTGGTGTGGGAAATTTTCCTTTCAAATCAAGTAGGACCCCACAGCAGTCTTCACTAGGACCTTCCTTGGTGATTAAACAGTAACTATTAACTATCCATATACTACCTAGACTGATGGCCTCCAAAGTGGAGAGTAATAATTCATTGGGGCTTGGGAAAAGAGTGCTAACCTTTTTATTTCACTCTTTCAAATTTTGCTTCATAATGTTCACATTAGTGCAGCAGTACATCTGACATATTTTTATAAGGACACAGCATCAGGTTTGGAGACTGTGATGTAGATAAATTTTTGAGGCAACATTTTGCTCCTGAAGCATTCGTGGCTGTTAAGCCATCTTTCCTTTTATTCCCCTCACCTACCATATCTGACTTCTCCTCCTAGATTAGTTTCTCCACAAGGATGAAACATACTGATGTGGAGGGTCAGAATGTGCAGGTGGTGACACCCAGCGAAAGAGTCAGAGAGGCATGGGTCTGTATCTCCTCAGCTTTTGAGATTACAGTCTGAGCTACACAGAAATAAGCTGTGTCTACTTTATTAGCAACTTCACAACTTGCTTGTGAAACCTGATAAGGAAGCAATGAATCCACTAGGTGGCAGCAAAACTCTACCCACAAGGTGCCCAAGTGGTTCACTGCTATTATTAGTGTTTACTTGGTCAGCCCCACTTAATTAGCAGAAAGGCAGTGGCTAACAGGATACTTCAATTACATAATGCCTTGGACAGTGGAGAACAGACACTGCCATTTTGCCTTCTACAGGATGGCCTTTTCTTAGGCCTACCTGAATTTTACGTGTATTATGAATGATCCTTTCAGAAATCCAAACGCCAAATAGCAAAAAGGGCCTCCTAATACACTTAAGCCTGCAGTCAACAATCAGAAGACCTAGTAAAGTTATATAGATCCTTTATCAGATTCAGGTGAAACCCTGGGCATGCCATGGATAAAGACTTCTGAAAGTTTTCATTAGGATGGTAGAATAATGAATTTATCTCATACATTTATTATAATACACAGAATTTTGAAATATTTCACAGAAGCAGTAGTACTTCACCAGTTAGGCGGGCAGTCTATATAAATTATTTATCTTTGCATTCTCCAAATTCAGTAGGTTCTTCTTAACCTCCCTAAAACCAAACATTTTTGACTAGAGGTGTTAACCCAATCTCTCAACACAAAAACTGAAATAAAAACACCCAAACAACAACAATCTCTGCTATTGACTTATAGCCCTCTGCTTAGGTCATTAACTTCTCAAAGTAGATAGGGTAAAACATTTCAAAATAATAAACTGGGCTACACTAATTACACTTAAATTATCCATTATGTTAAAATCTGTATCATTTGACCTTGAGAAAATACCTAAGCTGAATGAATTAGACTGTTCTCAGCCTATAATACCAGAACTTTGGGAGGCTGAGGTGGGTGGATCACCTGAGTTTAGTAGTTCGAGATCAGCATAGGCAACATAATGAAACTCCATCTCTACAAAAAATACAAAAATTAGCCAGGCATGGTAGTGCATGCCTGTAGTTCCAGCTACTTGGGGGCTGAGGCAGGAGGACTGCTTGAGCCCAGGGGATTGAGGCTGCAGTGAGTCATGTTTGTGCCACTGCACTCCACCTGGGCAACAGAGCAAGACCCTGTCTGGGGAAAAAAAAAAAAAAATGTTCTCAGAAAAGTAAGCATACAAATGAGAGACAGAAATGAATAGAGAGATATGGTATTTCTTAAATTAGAAAATCAGCACATATGCATTCTAAATAAGACAAGCATATAAGAGATGTCATTATAGAGGAGGCAAATTCAAGTTGAAAAGTTTCTTTCCATAGTCTACTTTTGTACATCAATTGTAGAATATTTAAGACCCCACACTCCATTACATCACAACATCATTTATTATGTGAATTTTTTACAATACAAACAAAAAATACAGAAATGCAATATATGAATACAGCTAAATGCAAAATGGTGACTTTTTTCTCTTCAAGAGGCCATGATTCCCATTTCTAGTAAAATAAAGAGACTGCATATAGGTAGAAACAGGTTGGTCATTAGCTTCACAATTTTGCCTAGAAATGATCTATAAATGCATTTTTCCCCCTGCTACTTACCATAAAGTGTAAAAAGGGAGTTAAAGGAAAGTTTCCTTGTTGGTTCCTACCATATGAAAGATGCTATATTCTATTTTAGCAGGGCCAATATATGGAAAATATCTAAATTAAATGTTTATTACAAAAAATGAAGCAGTAATGAGATTCTGGCTAAAGAGGGCACTAAATGAGAATAATATATATTTAAAGAATCCAAAACAAACAAACAAAAAGAGGTTGTTATAAAAAAGCTCTAGGTGCACTGTAAGCATATAGGGTTTTTTTTTCCATGTGTATTTTTAAACAATGGAAGTGTCAAAAAATAGGGTCAACTGTGTTAGACTAAATTACATTATTGTATATGCTGCACTGAATGGAACCTTTGTATTATAATTATCATAGAGAAGCACAGTTTGCATCATATTATGGCAATTCATCCTCAATGAAAACCTTCCAGAGTCCTTTTATTTTGGAATATCCTGTAAACAATCAAACCACCAGAACATGATTGTACAACAGTAAAATGTTCTCTTGCATTAAACTGAAGATATCTGTTTAATAAAAAAAGAAAAAGAAAACGTAGGAAAGGTACTTAGAGCTGTTACTTTCTAAGTACACAACACCCTAGACAATTCAAGGCATCTTAATCTCCATCAAGAACAACAACAAAAAATAATAATTTTTGTCATGCTGTTAAATCCATCATTATGGATAAAACTGGTGCAAATTGGTCAAACGGATCCAACAAACACTGATGTCCAAGCTGGCATACTGGCAACTAATAGGTAACTGGTGGTCAATAGAGAGTTTAAAAGATCTTCCCTTTCTTCTTGTTCTTTTCCAAGGTTCTAAAGGATTAAAGAAAAATAATCAAGATGAGTAACCATTTTATAAACATCATAGACAACATGATAACAATAGCTAATCCAATTACAACTATGCTGGATTTTCAGATACTACTTTTTCATTTAAAAAGTCATAAAAGTTAGAAGTAAACGACTAAGACAATGTTAATCTGTAATAGTATTTTCTTAGACAAATATTTGACAAAACTCCAGGATAAGTGGTAAAAAATACAGCAAAACCCCCTTTTAATATACAAGAGCAATTCCTCCCAAATGAAACAGCACAAACTGAAAACTATCAACTGGCATCAAACAGGGTGTTCTTTTCCCCCCACTGTCATTTGCATTCTGAAGTGCGATTGTTTTTACAAATCTATTTTCTACTTCTTTGGGGAAAATGTTAATAGTAAGATAGTGTAGTAGAACAAATGTCTAATCTAAAAATGTTTAGTAGTGAAGATAAATTATACTTTATTTATAATTTATAAATAATTATAAATTATTATAGAATCCTTATAGGAATGCCCCTTTCCAGTTTTGAATGAAACTCTTAAGGAAAAGAAAACCAAGGTAAAAATATGATTGAATTTTATATAAATTAAAAGAAAGTAACTGATTAGCTGTATTGGAAATTAAATATTTAACATTTTGTCTTAAGAATTTTATCCTAAAAACATAATTCAATACAATTAAAACATACCCCTAAATATGTAATAGATTTTGAAGCAATGTTCCCTTTGTGTGCCAAAAATTGAAAACAACCCTTACGTCCAACAACTGGGGGGAGGAGATAAGAAATCCAATTATGGTGAGTTAACTGGGGAGAATGTTATAAAGTTGCTAAATCATAATTACTAAGTCATGGAAAATGTACTGAAAAAATACTGCTATGGTACAGAGACTGTATTCATCCACATAAAAACCACTGTGTTTGGAATGCATGATAATGGGTGATGACTTTTTAAGTGTTATTCTAATGTTTTTTAATTAAGTAGGAAAACAATTCTTTAAAACATTAATATACACATTTCTTAGTAACCTGCTATTAGTTACCTTGAAGAGTTCTGTTGTTCTAAAATACGCTGTTGAGCTTCCCAGTTTGCTTTCTCATCCTCAAACTGACGACGTTTTTCCTCTAATTCTTTGTGCTGTGCTTCCAAATTCTTTTTCATTTGCTCATGGCGCCGCTGGAGCTAAATCATAGCACAATATATAAAACAAAACTATTTAAGAAATCAGAAGCAGAAGTATGTTTCATCCAGACATCCTAATGGTAAGAGTATGAGCACTGAACAGCCCTGTTGTAAATTCAGAGTACTACCCTGGAAAGCACTATCAAGGACTCTTCCTACTTTAGGATCTGCCACCCAAAAGGCCAGTGACCTAAGACAATAATCTTGGGAAACGGGGGAAAAAAAAGCAACGAACTTAACAGGGTGTAGTACTTTGTAATGGAAAATTACTATCTTATTTCATTTTTCTTTAATCACAAATATGTTGGAAGCTGGGCAGTGAAGACATCACTGTTCTAATTGTACAGATGAGGAAACAGTGGCAGAGTATAAGTGGCTTGCTCAAGATTGCTACCATAAAGTGGAAGAACCAGGACTTGAATAAGCCTCCTAATTCCAACTTTAGAAAGCTGAGACAAATGAAAAGCAAGCAGGTAGTTGAGGACCCTACAAGCTCAAAGATGCCAGTAAAGTACTCTGAATTCTTGTAAGCTGTGGTTCTCAGACACTGTCTTCATGCAAATCACCTGGGATATCTGTTAAAAATATTGAATCCTGGACCTCACTCAGATGTACCGAATTAGAATATCTGGGTGTTAGGTCTGGAAATGTGGGTTTTCAACAAATTACAGTGATTCTAATGAGGAGTATTCTAATACTCCGCTGAGTATTGATACTGTAAAGAATGCTGACTGAGAGGTGGGAAACACTCATGCAAAGTAACTGCAGAAACAAAGAGCTTTCAGTCCAAGAGATCATTAAATAATTTCATTTAGGAACAAGTCAATCCATCTCAGAAAAAAAGTCAACAAATTTAAAAAATCAGATTAAATCCTACTATGCCAAATACCCAAGAACTATTCAAAACCTTCAGTTATCCAGGAATTATGTTCTGTTAAATATTTTACTACATTGATGAGTTAACATCTTGAATGTGGATTATAATATAATTTTGCATACAATTTTTCTTTTTTGCAAGCCCAAGGTGACTTCAGATTTATTCCTATTCCAATTATTTCATGCAATTCCTACAAAAAAAAAATCACCTAAGACACATTTAAGCAAACAGGAGTTAAATCTGAGATGAAATCTTTCTGATGAGAGCAAACAAGTCACTAAGAAAATCTTAGAAAGTAGGAACATAAGAAAATGTCTCTAATTTTTTTTTTTTTTTTTAATGCAAAGGAATCACATATACACAATTCAGAATAGTAGTTACCTATGGGAATGAGAGAGCCCTTGGGACAAGCACACAGGGTCTTCAAATGAGTTGATAACATTCTATTTTTTTAAAGCCAGGTGGTAGGGTTATACAGTGTTCATCATTCTTTAACTTACATTTATGTTACATGTAAGTAATTATCTTTTGTGTTAACTGCATGTAGATAAAGGTATAGGTCACAATCTCATTCTTAAGAAACCCATGGGGTCAGATGCCTTTCAAAGTTCAAAATTTTTTCAGTTATTAAAAAGACAACACTGCTTAGAAAGGAGTATATACTATATTTATAAAATACCTCCTGGGCTATCTGGGGCAACAAGGGAATCAAATACATTACTTTTTATTTTTTTTCAGTAAAATATATAAATATTCACAATATGTAGATTTAAAACTTATTAAGTTCATGTTAGGTTTTGCAGTTTTCAGAGTTTTTTCCATTCTGAAATTGAAGCACAACTGTGGACCTATCTAGGGCTTAACAGCAAACTTAAAAATTAACTGGGTTCAAATGCTGGCTTACTAATCCTTCTTTTCATTTAAAGGGGAGATGGGCAATAATATCTACCTTACAGGGCTATGGTGTGCACTAGATGACATAATACGTGAAACATGCTTGGTGCTATGGTTCATGTACTGTGCTGCTAGGTATTAGTACTGTGCCCCAAACAAATATTTCCAGCACAGTGGATTTAAGGACAAACTGTATTAAACAAAGCTAAAAGGGTTTCTTTACCTATTTATGTATTTACATGTATCATATTTACATTATATTTATCATGTATCATATACATGATGATCTGCAAACTCATTACCACAAGGATGTTGGTAAATACACTCTGAATGTAGTTTCATAAAAGACAAAGAATCTAGAATGGGCATGCCTAATTCTGTAATGGCTTAGAGTATTGGTAGGAACTTGGCCCAGAGCTCTTCACAGGTCCTTTAAATGTTAACATTCCATCCTTCAAAGAGTAGTTCTTCAAAACTATCTTCATTCACAGTAATCATGAATATTCCCAAAGGGTTCCTTGGCTACAGGTTCACAATTACTTGTTTATAATATTTTCTCTTAGCAACAGGTCCTAAAATACATCCGCCTCAAATATAAGTTAAACTTTTAGATTCTCAATGGAATCTGAGTGTGGAAATAATGTAGTAGATTCTTGATTATTCCTGTTTTTCCCCCTCTTTGGATATAGATTTTCCAGATTGTATGTGAATTACTGGAGAGGCAGAGATTCAATGCATATATTTAACAACAGGCTGAACTTAATCTCCAAAATGTCATGTTAAGAACATTAATTATTTATAATAGCAACAGCTGAGACAGTAATTCTTGATTGGGGGTGTGTGTGCATATATGTTTTGGTTTGCTCTATGATAGGAGGGCACTGCTATTATTATTTAGTGGCAGTGCCAGGGATGCTAGTCCTATAGTACTCAGCAGTGTCAAACCAGGAGGAATTATTCCTTACCCCCACTAAATTAAACTCACAACAAATGTAACAGTGAAAGATTTTAATAAGAAATTACAAGAAAAGCCCAGTAATGTAAGAGAAATTATGTGGTAGAATAAAAACATTTCCTTGAAATTATTTAATACTTTCTTATGCCATGCATTCTGTTTACTCAATGGATTAGAGTACTTTTGTTATGCTTTTAGTCAAAAAGTTTCTGCATTTTATGTAGTACTTAAAAAAGCAATGAAATCAACTGTAAGGATGTAACAGAAGAGATCTGAATCTCTTAATATACTTAGATACAATTATTGTATTAGTGAAGTCACATAAAACACAGGGATCTTACTAAATTTGATCACTGACAATTGTTTTAAAAATATTTTATATGACTGTCAAAATTATATATATATATATATATATATAATTTTGAGACAAGGTCTAGCTCTGTCACTCAGGCTGGGGTGCAGTGGCACAATCATAGCCTACTACAGCCTCAATCTCTCAGGCTCAAGTGATCCTCCTGCCTCAAACTCCTAAGCAGCTGGGACCATATGCACATGCCACCGTGCCCAGCTATTTTTTTTTTTTTTTTTTTTAAATATTTTGTAGAGATTGGGTCTTGCCATGTTGCCCAGGCTGGTCTCAAACTCCTGGACTCAAGCAATCCTTCTGCTTTGGCCTCCCAAACTGCTAGGATTACAGATGTGAATTACCACACCTGGCCTTCATCTCACATATTTAAAAAGAACTTATTATTTTATGGGTTTTGTTTATTTTTTCAGACAAAGTCTCCATCTGTCGCTGAGGCTGGAGTGCAGTGACGTGATCTCAGCTCACTGCAGTGTCTGCCTCCCAGGTTCAAGTGATTCTCCTGCCACAGCCTCCCAAGTAGCTGGGATTACAGGCACCCACCACCACACTCAGCTAATTTTTGTATTTTTAGTAGAGACGGGATTTCACCATATTGGCCAGACTGATCTCAAACTCCTGACCTCAGGTGACACCCACCTCAGCCTCTTAAAGTGTTGGTATTACAGTACAGGCATGAGCCACCACACCCTGCCTATAATTATAACAAATTTATGTTGAGAAAACTTCATACTGAAATTCTGATTTATTTTGGGTTTACCCATAGTTTTTTCTACTGTTCTCAAACATCTATCAAACTAACTGCTCTATGGATTCTTATGTTAAGTTTATCTTTTCCTCCACCTTTTCTTTCTTGCCACCTATTGAAGGAAATGTCTCCAAGGTCTTTTTGATTAATAGAAACTAAATGTATAACTCAACATCTAGAAAGGTTTCAAGACATAGATACGTCTGCTGGGATGTTTTGTCATTACCCTGGTCCAGTGCTGTAACACTAGGAATTACCTTGACACTACATTATAAATAAGGCCCAACCTGTTAACAAAAATATCACATTAACTAATTTTCTCTCCTTTAACTGTGTGTAATTTATCCAGGCACGTCTTTAGTTCAATAAAGGTTATTTCCCTCTTTTTCATTCAATATACAATAAGTCTGGCCAATTATTATTATCCTAACACTAGTTTTTATGCATATATCCACCCTCGACTCTCATCTTTAGTGTTGTTATGCCACCTGTTTGGAATGGCTTATAATTTTATTTTTTACAACTCAAACTTGTTCATTATAACTTTAATATTCCATTATAAGTATTCTATTATTCTATATAATAGAATATTAATATTACATATTAATATTCTATTAATATGTAATACTTTACATATTAAAGTATACATTATTTTATTATAAATACAATGCTTGCTTATTTCTCCATTTTGTTACGCTAGGGTATTAATTTTGAAAAAATATGTATAAAAAGGTTATAATATCTATAAATTTTATTGAAAACACTATTTAAAAAGGAACACAATGTCTAATAGATGGAATGTTAGCCTGATTACCTCAGCTTCAGAGTCCTTCAGTTTTTGAACTTTTTCCTTGACCTTCATCTCAAACACCTGCTCCATCTCCATCTCCATCTTCTTCATTTTAGCTACATGCTCCCTTCTTTCTTCTTCCATTTGTGCCAGAGGGCTCCTGTCATGAATATTAAAGGTAATCATTAAATGTGAATAAAAATTATAATACAGAACTATGAAACTGCTGATAAAAACAAATGAGATGCTATATATGTATGTATGCCATTATTAATATATTTATAACCTAGAACATCTTTCCATATTTCATATATAAAACTTGATGATAGAAAAAATCTAAAAAACAAAGATGTTCTCTAAATTGACTGCATATCAAATCTAAGGATGATGATATAACAAATAAACTGTAGAAGGAAAATGGGAAAAAAAATTTCCAAAATACATTCACAGAATAAAACATTAGCAGAAAATCATATAATTTTGTTCTTTAAACAAAATTTTAACATGAAAAACAGAAAATGAGTAATAAAGTTAACATGTAGAGTATTTTTAGTTTTACTAAAATTTCAAGTTTTACAATCTCTTTTAAGACAGCTACTGACACCACAAAAATGAACAATATTATAACTTATTTGGTAACTGAACCAATATGCTGGAAACAACTACTGGTCAACACCTAGAGCACTATTTAGGTATACAGAATATTTCTAGACCCCTTACGATAACTTCAATGCTCTTGAAAATACATTCCACTTAAATATTTCACTGTCTTAAGTTTTAAAGATGTTCAGTGATTTAAAACATACACACGTACTTTAGAGATAATCAGGGGCAAATATTTTGTTAATAATTATTTTTCAATGCCAAAAAATAGATATAAGCATAGTTAAATACAAAAATTGTTCACTCTGTTGACGTTAAAGTTCATGGACTCAAATCTCTTTGTACAACTGTGTTCAAAATTTTCACACTGAGATATATTTACGGGTGGGTTTTAAGTTAAGGCTAATACACTTACAGAGATATAAAGAATGCCAGAGTACCTAGTGCTTTCAGCCCAGGAGCAGAAAGATAAGTAGCCTCTTTGCTTTGAGAATGTCTGAAAATTATTCAATACCCTGGGACAAATTAAATGAGGCAGGCCCCTCTTTGACTTTGTTAATAAAGTATGCTTATTTTGCTTCCATAAAAACAGGCTTTGACCAAAACCTGTTTTTTTTTTTTTTTTTTTTTTTAAACTTAGAGATCTATGTGAACACATTTATTTTAATTACAGTATAGAATATCACAATGGATATAAGAAATCATCTAGCCATTCTATATGTCAGATATTTGCTTTTTTATCTTCTTTGTGATTACAAATAATGCTGTCATAAATACCCTTGTAAAAATACATATTTGTACAATGAGGGTTTTTCTGTTAAGAGTCCCAGAAGCTTGGTCAGAGAACTCAAACATTTAAATATTGATTGGTACTGCCAAAGTCATCCCTCCAGTACAATACAAATTTAAACTCCCCCACTCTGTGTAAGTCTCTGCAGCCCCATAGTTTTGCCCATATTTGATATATATCTTTTTAAATTTTCAAATCTGATAGGTCCAAAATAATGGTTAGCAATCTGTACTTCCCTGATTACTAGATATAGTTGATCTTCTTTTCATATCTTTATAAACCATTTGCATTTCTTCTATAAATTGCCAATTTCCTGACTGGGTTTATCTTTTTCTCACAGGTTTGTATATTACGGAAAATTCTTTATTTATGGCAAACAGATTGTCCCAGTTCGCCACTTTTTTTTATGGCATGATTTGTCACAGAGATGTTTCACATTTTAATATATTATCTTTCACACTTTTCCATTCTGGCATCTAAATCTTAAAAGTAGCTTAGAAAGGCCTTCCTCATCTGATGGTTATTAAAAATATTGTAGACTCAAATTGATTTGTTTACCCTATGTGCTATTTCTCCTCTTTCCTCCCAGGGCTGATTGATCCAAGCACAGTCAAACCTGACTCATACTGGGCCACTCAGATTCTCTCCCAGGATTCTGAAAACTAGGGAGAAGCAGGGGCTTTCCTAGAAGGCCCCCAAAGCCACCAAGGTAAGGTCTGCTCTACCCGAGGCTTGGTACTCCAAGCCTCTTATTTTTGATTCTGCCAGCTCTTCCAGTGTCTTCCCAAATCAATAGTTCTGTTTGTTTTTTGCTTAATTTAGTTGAGTTGACTTATCTCGTTTTTAACTAAAGGACTTTAACTGATTTAGCAATTAGAATCAGAGTGGGTTGTAGTGGAGACTGCTGGGGGAAATGCAGGTTATGTTACTGGGTTCAGATGGAAGGATATAAACTGTCAACCAATTTCCACGATGGGAAAGAGCAAGCTGCTCACAGTTCATAGTTGTACAACTACTATTTTAGTTATTGCTTGCAATTACCTGTGATGTGTTAAAGCTGGTGGTAAAGGAGTGAGTGTGTCCCAATTAAAAGGAGAGGAGAAATGTTGAAACCACGGAGTAGGATTACTTCTGACAACATTAGAGAACAAAACAGGAAAAATCTCAGCTCCCATATAAAATGCTGACCTCCAAATGAAAACCAAGACTAAGGGGCCTTTACATTACTATGTATATATTTTGATAAACAAATGTTAAAATTTCCAAATATTGCTAGTTGCTGAATTTTAATGCCAACAGAATTCACATCTTTTCTGGGTTGCTCATGAGAAAGATAAGGCTTTAACTGAGACAACAGAAATGATGATAAAAGAAGAGAGGACTTGAAGAAAGCTAATTTCCAAAAATCTCTATTATGCTCTCTACTGCATCTTGCTTTCATGATGGTAACTGCCCCACAACCCAGTCTGCATTACTCACAGAATACAACCATAACATGATCTGAGGGTAAAATACATAAATAATGTAGAAAAGTAAAATGTTGGCCAGGCACGGTAGCTTGTGCCTGTAATCCCAGCACTCTGGGAGACCAAAGTGGGAGGATTGCTTGAGATCAGGAGTTCAAGATCTGCCTGGACAACACAGCAATACCCCCATCTCTACGGGGCGGGGGCAGGGAGAGTAAAGTATGTTTTAAATGGGTAAATTTTATTGTTATACACTAATCTTAAAATAAGAATTAACTCATGGCTTAAAACAAAAAAGACTTTGGATTTCAACCAAAACTATAAGGCTAGTCATTTTAACCTTGATTTGACACACTCATTATGGTGACTGTTCTCCTTATTAGGCGAAATACTTGACCATCATAGTAATTTTCTTTTCTATCAAGGAAGAAGGCAAGAGAACTAGATAGAAAATGTTAAAAACAAAACAAAAAGGACAGAAAACTGGCTACCAGTTGTTTTTTTTGTTTTGTTTTGTTTTTTTGAGATGGAGTCTTGCTCTTGTTGCCCAGGCTGGAGTCAAGTGGCACAATCTTGGCTCACTGCAACCTCCATCTCCCTGATTCAAGTGATTCTCCTGCCTCAGCCTCCCAAGTAGCTGGGATAACAGGCGCCCACCACCATGCCTGGCTAATTTTTGTATTTTTAGTAGAGACGGGGTTTCACCACGTTGGCCAGGCTGGTCTCGAACTCCTGACCACATGATCTGCCTGCCTCGGCCTCCCGAAGTGCTGGGATTACAGGCGTGAGCCATTGCGCCTGGCCTAGTTTTTCTTAACAAAAAGGAAGAACAAAGATGTGATATAATGCTATGATTAAGATGATCTATTTTCGCAATTGTGTAAATTCAAATAAAATGTTATTTAACTCAAGGATATTTCTTCACTAAAAGAAAACTTACTTCTACATTTAAACCTGCCATATATTTTTCCAATTAACCAATGAATCAAAAGTTCTGAAAATGAAACTAAGCAGACATATTAATTTACAACACAAACCTGCATTTTAAAAGTAGAGTCAGCTAAAATACATTTTCAAGTGTAAATATCATTTTTTCGTTAAAAGTTGATGCAATCCTTCTTAATAATATATTCTTCATATTAATGGCAGGTGTTTTTAATATAGATGCCTCTGATCTCTTGAACACACACAGTGTCAGTGACTGCCCCAAAATGACATACCAAATGTGTGTCTGTTTGTGTTTGCCAGCATTCTTTCAGTGAAAGGGTCCAAAGCTTTTGTTAGATTTCAAAGGGTTTATAATTCCCACTGTCCCCTAACACCCAAAAATCTTTTTTAGGCTCTAGAAATCATCTAAAAATGATTTTTTTAATTGCTAACTTAAGTAACTGAATATGTGTATTTAAGCAACTTAAGATTATCCAACAATATAATTGTGAATGTAAATATAGTAAATTAGAATTCAGACAGAATTAAATATCTATTCCTACTTATATAACTCACCTACAAAATGTTTATTTTACTTTATGCTTGGGAAGGAGCAGGCAATTTTGCCACCTAAATTATTATTTAAATAACTCTAGAGGGAAAATAAGAGACTGCAGAGAAACATGTAATGACGTTTCAGAATCTTCTTTTAGGAAGGGCACGGTTTCTCACGCCTATAATCCCAGCATTTTGGAAGACCAAGGCAGGCAGATCACAAGGTCAGGATTTCGAGACCAGTCTGGCCAACATGTGAAACCCCATCTCGCCAGGCGTGGTGGCAGAGGCCTGTAATCCCAGCTACATGGGAGGCTGAGGCAGGAGAACTGCTTGAACCCAGGAGGCAAAGGTTGCAGTGAGCCAAGATCACACCACTGCACTCTTGCCTGACGACTGGGTGAGACTCTGTCTCAAAAAAAAAAAAAAAAAAAAGTTTAGCTTATATTCTAAAACCAAAGTGAGATTAGCACTTTGTGAAGCATACACTGCCAAAGATCACAACTAGACATTTTCAATAGGTTCACCTTCCATTCCAAAATTCTTGCAACTCTCAACCCCACTCCACTACTACTGTCAAAGGATACACTGCTATGGAGAGTGGCATGAGAGCAATACAAAAAGAACATTAAAAGAAGCCTAAACTCACACCTGATTACTTCACTTAAATATTAGTCTTTCTTTTCAGTTATTCATGGATATGTGCTATAAGGAAAAACACCTTACATCAGCTAAAGCACCTAAGCTGTTAATAATGATTTTTAAAGAAAAATTTAACAAAAATGTTTTTTTGAAATTGCTAAATTTTCAAGACAATGTAATACAACCAATAGCTAAAACTTCTAAGTGATTTCTTTCACATTCAGTATGTGTTATTCAATGAAGTAGTAACAAACTAATTTATCAAATCATATCAAGTATCTATTCCAATTACAGCCATTCTCCAGTTGGCTTAATCTTCTAAAATATTTATTTTCCTACTTATTAACATAAAATAAAATATTGTGCTAGCTCCTGGGGCAATTTGCTTTTTAGCAATGCAAACGTTTCTTTTTTTATTTGCATAGGCAAAGAATGGTTACGATTCCTCTCTTTAAGAGATATATTTCCAGTAGATTTCTACTTTTTATGTTTTCACCTGGGATATAGTTTAACTCACTATCCCCACAGAATTTTGTATACACAGAAAAAAATTTAATGCTACTGTAAAGTTTACTATTTTTCTCTGAATTACCTTACCTACATCCAACAGCACTACTTTAAAAAGCCTTATATTTGAGATATGAGAATAAACAATTCCTTATGTCTATGACATAACAAATGTTTAAAAGAAAATATTGAATAAGTACATATATTTAAAAATATATATACTGGTAGTATTTCTTTTAACATACAAAATTATCAGTAGCTTTGTGTATGTGTTTCTTTTAATGAGTTAAAAAGTTCATCGCTAATGATAATGAGTTTAAAGTGAATTAGGATTTTATGAACAATATTCACTATGATGGATCCTTACGTTTTTGTGCCAAAGTTGCTCAATAAACATTTTGCTAAAAAAAGATAAAAAGCCTTCCTTTTGTTCACAGATTGAAGCTTACTCAAACAGAATCTTGTATTTTAAATATTTAAGAAGGGACATTTTTCTATTCCATTATAAGGAATGTTAAGCACTACAGAAAACAGTATAGCTACTTTGAGAACTTGTCTTTCCCACTTATATCGTTGATCCTTCAGGATTATCATCTAATGGTAGATAACACCTAGCTGCAAATGCACATCATTTAAAATGGTTTTGTAATACAGCTATGCACTACGTAATGACCTTTCAGTCAACAAAGGACTGCATATATGATGGTGGCCCATAGGAACTGAAAAATTCCTATTGCCCAATGGCATCTTGATGATCTTGACCCTGAGTAGGCCTAGGCTAATGTGTACGTTTCTCTCTTCGTTCTCACACACACCAAAAAAGTTTTACGTGAAAAAAAGAACTTTTACAATATAAAAATCTTGTAAAGATTATAAAGATAATATTTTGTATATCTGTACAATGTGTTTGTATTTTAAGTGTTACTACAAAAGAATCAGAGTCTTTTAAAATTTAGATAAAATAAGCTACAACAAAACAAGATTATTGAAGACAAATAAAAAAATAGTACAGCCTAAGTGTATAGTGTTCATAAAGTCCACAGTAGTGTATAGTAATGTCCCAGGTCTTCATATTCACTCACCACTCACTCACTGACTCATCCAGAGCAACTTCCAGTCCTGCAACCTCCATTAACCAAGCGCCTTATACAGGTATACCATTTTTAATCGTTTATACTGTACTTTTACTGTACCTTTTCTATGGTTTAGACACACAAATACCATTATAACTGTCTATAACAGTACAGTAGAGTAACATGCTATATAGATTTGTGGCCTACACGCAATAGCTATACCACATAACCTAGATGTGTAGAAGGCTCTACACATTTCTCAGACTGTATCCCCATTGTTAAGTATGACGTAATTATGGTTTTCAATAATGACAAAGTTTTAAAAAGCAGGACACAGACATGGTTACCAGGTTCCTCACACATCTCTTTTTTCGATCCCAACATGAAACCACAACTTGAGATAAGCTCAACAGGGCACAGCTACACACTTGGTGGTCACTTACAACACCACTCTAACACCAAAAGAAGAAACCCAAACTCCAGCTAATTTACTCCCTGGAAAAGGAATACAGAAGGTAACCAAGAACAGATTCATCTAAATATTCCTTTTGTTAAAGGCTGTCCTTTGTTTCCACATAATCTGTAAGTGAAAACTCTATCAAAATGTTTCATTCGAAAAAGCTTCTACTATTAACAAACCTTAACAATATAAATTTATACTGTTGTGGATACAGAACATTATCCAAATTTTCTACTGAGTAGCTAGTAGAAATTTAATGAAAATGAAACAATATGATTGTTGACTACAGAAATAATACCTTTTTTGGAGAAAAAAAAATATACTTACTTAGTCAGCTGCCCCTTATTCTTGTTGTTATCAACTCCATTATAAGTCACAGCTGCCAGTTTTCTGCTTCTGTAGTTCTCATAGTGAACATTATTAGTAACATCTTTCAAGTCCTGCATGTGTGTTCTGTCATAAACAAACAGCAAGAGTTTGCTTCTGTTAATAGCTAGGGATAAAAAAGCTAAAAAGCTTTAATATAAATTCAAAATTTTACCAAAACAAAAATTTCAGATTTAAAATGAACACCTTAAGGAAGGTGGCATTCACCTGTTTTCATTTACACTCAAAGTAGACCAATAAAAAATGAGCTAACTTGACACCAAATTTAGATTCCAAATTAGATTTTAAGGCCCATAAATCCCTCCAAGCAGTTTCTGAAGGATGATCTTTCTATGAAAGAGTATTCATCTTTACAGTATCTATTTAAATATCAGACAGAAGAGTGTGGATTAGCTACTACTGAAGCTCATAAAGTCTAATAGAAACTGCCTTTCTTTTAGCAATATTTCTAAGGTAATATATGAGTCTTTAGTAATACATAATAATACATTTTGGATTACATATCGAATTGTTTTCAGACTAGGGAATTTTAGAGTAAATTTGTTTATTCAAACTGTCTAGTGAACATGGTATTTTGGTTAAACCAATTTTTGCTTACAGCATTTCTGTCATATATAAAATCAATATATGAGATCAATCTACAATACATGAGATGATGTCATCATTATCTGATAATTCAAGACATTAAAGATACCCTTAGCTGCTGTATGGATATTATTTACCAATGTAGTGTTTTTGGATATACATGGTATGGCAATACTCTATTTGTTAGTCCTCCTCATCACCCATTCTGTATCAAACTTCCTATATCTGCCATCATTCATCTTCACCACTTTACTAAAACTCCCTTCTGGGAGACAAAAGGGTGTACTTTTGGCAGGGCGCAGTGGCTCACGCCTGTAACCCCAGCACTTTGGGAGGCCGGGGTGGATGGATTACCGGAGCTCAGGATTTCGAGACCAGCCTGGCCAACATGGTGGCACCCCAATCTCTACAAAAATTAGCCAGATGTGGTGGCGGATGCCTGTAATCCCAGCTACTTGGGAGGCTGAGGCAGGAGAATTGCTTAAATCTAAGACATGGAGGTTGCAGTGAGCCAAGATCATGCACTGCACTCCATCATAGATGACGAGAGCGAGACTCCAGCTCAAAAAAAAAAAAAAAAAAGTGTACTGTTGTACTTTTTATCATTCCTTATACCCAGAAAACTTTTACTGTTACTTCACAGTCCAGCTTCTTGAAACTCTCCCTTTGTGAATAAAATGTGATATTCAATCACTCTGATTCATTTTGTACTAACATTTCCATGCAATTCTCTGCTAGTTCACTCTCCTTAGTCCTAAGTCCGGGTTTTCCAAAAATCTCATCTCCCAGACTCTGTCCCTTGATAAATCCATGTTCTCTTATAGCGACAACAGTTACTTCTAAAGCTCTACCACTCCACTTCAGGCAAGTTAGGCAGCTCCCTACTCCTGGCATATCTGGTGGTTGAGACTGAACAGTTCATGCTAATTTGTCGATCTCTCATCAAAGAGTTCAACTGCTTTGGAAACCTTTTTCCCAGCCTTGACATCAAAGCATTCCAACCATGACCATTTTCTCCTTGGTTGTCATTCATTTTTGTTATATGTCACAGGTGACATCATACCTCTTCAACTATAAGCTCCCCTTTAGAAGGAACATGCCATTACCTTTTGTGTCCCAATGCAGATAGCAGATAACATGAACTTTAACAGAATTAGTAACTCAAGATTGAAGTTGAGATATAATGAACACTTTTTGGAATAAATTATTGATACCAGTTTCTCTAAGTAGAGAATAATAAGAACAAACACTTATGCCAATATAAAACAACGTTTATGTAATTTTTTTTTTTTTTTTTGATACAGGGTCTCGCTCTGTCAGCCAGGCTAGATGGAGTGTGGTGGTATGATCTCGGCTCACTACAACCTCTGCCTTTCAGGCTCAAACCATCCTCCCACCTCAGCCTCCTGAGTAGCTTGGACTACAGGCAGGCATGCACCACCATGCCCGACTATTTTTTCTATTTTTAGTAGAGAAAAGGTTTCGCCATGTTGCCCAGGCCAGTCTTGAACTCCTGAGCTCAAGCAGTCCTCCCACCTCGGCCTCCCAAAGTGCTGGGATTACAGGTGTGAGCCACTGCACCCAGTCTAATTTTAATTACATTACATTCATCCCTGCATCACTGAAAAAACATTAAAGGTCCTAAGGAAAAATACTTACATGAAATGCTTGCATGAATATGTACAATAAAAGTAAGGTGAATTTACCAATTGTTAAGCTATTTTTGTGTGATCTAACATTTTAGATAATGACTGATTTTCCCTTTCACTAAAATCACTAAAGTCTTCTATATGACTACATAATTCTGATTTTTTCAGGTTATAAAAGTATTTCCATTGAATTAAATATGCTTTATCCTTTTATGATTCAACCCACTCCTCCATTCTCAAAATAATCTGGTAATTAGCAATACTGCTTTCCTCAGTTTCAGGAATTTGTCTCTTCCATTTCCCATTGCTGATAACATAACTCTGTTCTCCTTTTGTTTTCTTTCCCTATTTGAATTCTCAAACACCCATCCCCACACCTGAAAATATCTGTATAGTTTTCCTCCTTTCCATTGACTTCCTTGGTTTGCCTTGGAGTAAGTCAGTTCTCTTAATTAGCAAACACTTCTTTGAACTTGCTTCTTTCTTAGAAGCAATCACTGTTCCTAACTTTGACCTGCAAGATTTCAATTACTTGGGATTTACAGACATCTGCAATACTGGTAATGTATTTCCTTCAAGTATGTATTAAATATCCACTAGGTGCCTTTGTCTTAAAGACATGAGCTAAATTAAATATACATCTTTTTAATAATATATAACTAGAATTTTTAGGCATAACAGTCTTACTGCTCTGATGTATTAAATCTTCCTGCAGGCATGGTCAATTTGCTCTGTAATGCTTACACTAGGGAGGCTCCTCACTAGCTGCCAAGCTGTAAACCTTCAAATATTCAAAGTAGCCTCTTGGCCACAGACACAGTGGCTTATGCCTGTAATCCCAACACTGTGGGAGGCTGAGGCAGGTGGCTCACTTGAGAGGTCAGTAGTTTGAGACCAGGCTGGCCAACATGGGGAAACCCTGTCTCTACTAAAAATACAATTAGCCAGGTGTTGCGGCATACACTTGTAATCCTAGCTACTCTGGAGGCTGAGGCAGGGGAATTGCTTCAACCTGGGAGGCGGAAGTTGCAGTGAGCCAAAGATTGCACCACTGCACTCCATCCTGGGCAAGAGTGAGACTCCATCTCAACAAAGTAGCTTCTGGCTCAGTAATTAGCTTTCCCCTCTACAGTGTTTCAGGTATGCAGGCAATTATTGATTGTATACTTTTAAAATACAAAAGAAAAAGTTATTGAATGCCACAGTGTCAAGCACTGGACAAGTACCATAGAAGATTTAAAAACAAGAGGAATGCAATGGTAATTAATATTTATTAAACATTCTCTACCTATATACTATCTTGGCAGATTACATTATTTTTCTTTTGAAGTCACACCTTAGGAATGGAAGACGAAGGAAACAGTTCATAATAGAGCCTGAAGTGTTGTATTCTCAAAACCCAGAGGATGACCTTCTCGTGCATTTGCTCTTCTCCCACTAAGTGAGGCCTGGCAACCCCAACTGCTGAATTAACCCTATCATGTAGTTCCTACCAAAAACACCTGCTCCTTTGAAAAAAAAAATCAATTACCTGCCAATTTCTTTAATTTCAAAATTCATTCTCATCTATATATTATATTTCTTGAGGTAGCAGTTTGACTCTTTTAAATTCTCCCCCTCACTTCTCACTTGTGAGAATGACATTCTTGTTATTTCATGATTTCCGATTATTATGCATATTTATGTTACTACCTTTCTTTACACAGCTAAAGAGACAGAGGATGTGGTAAAGGCATAGAGAAGCAAGAGACAGAAGTGGGAAAAACGGAGTGAGGCAGAGAGGAAAGAACGTGTCTCAACGTGAAAACACTGAAAATCATTTTGATGCCCTTTCTTTTCCTTACCTACTGTCTCTAGTCCTATTACACTTTTTTTCTTCATGATTTCCTCTCTGCTGCTGCTTTTCTAATTCAAGTCCTGGTCCTCTAATCAGGATGGCCTCAGTGTCCTGCTCCCATAGGCTTTCCTTCTCTTTCAGCAGGTGTGCAAGACACAATTTAGGAATTTTTTTCTCACCTGGTAGGAAAATTAGTTTTGTTCGCTATGTTTCATTACATAAAAAATGCCCTACTCACCAGCTACCAGGCTGTGCACCTTTTAACATTCAAATTCTACCTTTTGACTCAAAACTAGCCTTCCCTTATATAGTTTTCATAAGTTTTTCACATTAAGAACAAGAGCCTCTTCTATTTCACTTTCCATAGTTATTTCAGTATTAAAACCTCAACACAAAGTATAATGATAAAGTGATGAATTTTCCTGTGTATCCCTAGACACACAAATTATTTTGTCACTTTTGCTCACGGCTTCAAAACCTTGGAGAAAGAATCTAAGTTGTCTACATGTAGTGCTTATTTCATTACTAGACTGAAGATATAAATTTAAATTAGCTACATTTATAGAAGACAAAAAGTAAATCTGTCCAGCTCTAACTTATTTAGGGAAATAAAATCTTATGCTATTTCTATCATTGCTTGCACTTACCTTATCAACATATTTCTTAAAATTGTAAAATCACAATGTTCACCATTTTCAACTGCAAGAAAAAAATAGACCACATATATTATATTTCACTAAACCTAGTCTTTTCAAAAAATATTTCACAGGAACTTAGGGGGTAAAACAATGAGGGGAAATGCAAAACAGCTTAGATCAATTTTTTTGAGATTAAACACTAACATACTACTCAATGTAAGGGCATGACAGAGAAGTGTACTATATTATTGCCTTATTGTACTTTAATCCTCAGAAATAGATGCGTAAACCTAACAAAATGAGTTCTCCAGAAAAAAATTTTGAAATTTTGAAAGGGGAAATCATGTATTGTCTCATTACTGGTGTAGAAAATATATTTATTCTATAATACATTTAAAAAATTCAGTGGTGTGAGTGAAGGGAGAATCACTTTAGAAAAAATCTTAAGGTAACCAAAATGAAAAAGGGTGCCAAGAACTTTAAGGTTCTTTATTTTTATGTAAAAGAATGTATCACAAATAGGAATATTACTTGGGAGTAGAGGGGTAAACTACAAAACAGAGACGTAAATCAATTTCTCCAGTGCATATTTTTAAGAGGTAAGTAAGTTCTAAAGCCTCAGCTCAGCAACTGGAAGTTGTCTGGGCATGATAGAGCTGGGAACAAGTTATAGCGGTCACTGGTGGGAAAACTGCGAGTAAGAACAGTAACTTGAAACAATATCCTAAAAATTAAAGAATTTTTCAAAATAAACCAGGGGCAGTGGTGTGTGCCTACAGTGATGTGATGTGGGAGGAGCATGATATGGGAGGATCACTCGAGCTCACGAGTTTGAGGCCGGCTTGGGCAACATAGCAAGACCTTGTCTTTTTTTAAAGAAAAAAAAAGTTCAAAATAATAGCAACAAACAGATAAAACAATCATGTCTCAATTTTGGTTTTGGCTTAATACAGAAGATTAAATATCAGATTAAATCAATACAATAAACCTATTGCCAAGAGGATTTCTGAGGTACGGTGTTATAACTAAGATTTTATTGGAATTTAAAACTCCTTACTTAACCCTTAATAATTTCAGATAGCAGGTTTAAAAACAAAAAACTCCTTACAAAACTAGTAAAGAGTCTCTTTTACTAATGAAATTTTTTTACTCTAAATTTACAGTGTCAAAAAGGGCAACTTTTGCATTGAGGAAAGCAGACTGTGAATGTTTTAACTAGGTGTATGAATTTTTCAATTATTCTTGAAGGTCCATGACCCATCTAACATTCCGATAAAAATGACTGGCCTTTTTCCCAAAATGTTTGATTCCAGAAGGTTCATTAGATCTCCTGGGAGCAAACTTTGGGCCCTACTAAAGAAATCCTGAATTTTAAGTTATGTTTTCTTTTTTTTGAGATGGAGTTTTGCTCTGTTGCCCAGGCTAGAGTGCAGTGGTGCGATCTTGGCTCACCGCAACCTCCCCCTTCTGGGTTTAATTAATTCTACTGCCTCAGCCTCCCAAGTAGCTGGGATTACAGGTGCCCACCACCACCCCTGGCTAATTTTTGTATTTTTAGTAGAGATGGAGTTTCACCACCTTGGCCAGGCTGGTCTTGAACTCCTGACCTCGTGGTCTACCCACCTCAGCCTCCCAAAGTGCTAGGATTACAGGTGTGAGCATTACTTTAGAAAGGAGAATGCCTGGCCAAGTATGTTTTCAATAAGGAAACAGAAATAGACTTAATGATGAGGCGGGGATGTCAGCCAGGGTGGGGCAAGTTGAGTATCTCTTATTTGAAATGCTTGGGACCAGAATTGTTTTGGAATTTTGGAATATCTGTGTTATACTTACCGGTTGAACATACTTAATGTGAAAATCCAAAATTCAAAATGCTCCACTGAGCACTTCCTTTAAGCGGCATATCAGTGCTCAAAACCTTTTAGATTTTGGAGCAATTCACATTCTGGATTTTCTCTTTAAGAATGTTCAACCTGCCGGGCGCGGTGGCTCAAGCCTGTAATCCCAG